TCTGTTGAAGATCTGTGAAAAGATGGAGGCCAGCTGGTCAGCACAGGTTTTCAGACAGGCTGGTCAAACATCGTCTGGGCCTGGTGCTTTTCTTCTCTTCTGTTTTCTGAAGACCTGACGCACATAATCTTCACTGATCTGAAGTGCAGGAGGGGGGAAGAGGGGGGTTGCTGGAGGTGATAATGGCTGTGTGGAGAGATGGTCAGAGTGGGTATGAGCTGTGAGACCGGAAGTTTTAAATCTGAAATCTCATTTCAGGTCTTCAGCAAGTTATTGATTCACTTCAGTGCTGGGGGATGGCATCTTGTAGTTTGTGATGTCTTTCAGGCCTTTCCACACTGAAGCAGGGTTGTTTGCTGAAAGCTGGTTTTCCAGCTTTTTAGAGTAGCTCCTCTTTGCCACTCTGATCTCCTTTATCAGTGTTTTCCTGGCCTGATTGTACATGATTCTGTACCCACTCCTGTAGGCATCCTCTTTGGCCTGACGAAGCTGTCTGAGTTTAGCTGTGAATCATGGTTTGTCGTTGTTGTATGTTAAATGAGTCCTGGTAGGAATGCACATGTCCTCACAGAAACTGATGTATGATATTACAGTCTCTGTGAGCCCGGTGGCAGCAGCTTCAAAAACACTCCAATCAGTGCAGTCGAAGCACAACTTCTGCCCTCACCAGTACTTCATTTGGAACAAAATCAGGCTGTGTGGAGAAATGGTCAGAGTGGGTATGAGCTGTGAGACCGGAAGTTTTAAATCTGAAATCTCATTTCAGGTCTTCAGCAAGTTATTGATTCACTTCAGTGCTGCGGGATGGCATCTTGTAGTTTGTGATGTCTTTCAGGCCTTTCCACACTGAATCAGGGTTGTTTGCTGAAAGCTGGTTTTCCAGCTTTTTAGAGTAGCTCCTCTTTGCCACTCTGATCTCCTTTATCAGTGTTTTCCTGGCCTGATTGTACATGATTCTGTACCCACTCCTGTAGGCATCCTCTTTGGCCTGACGAAGCTGTCTGAGTTTAGCTGTGAATCATGGTTTGTCGTTGTTGTATGTTAAATGAGTCCTGGTAGGAATGCACATGTCCTCACAGAAACTGATGTATGATATTACAGTCTCTGTGAGCCCGGTGGCAGCAGCTTCAAAAACACTCCAATCAGTGCAGTCGAAGCACAACTTCTGCCTTCACCAGTACTTCATTTGGAACAAAATCAAGATTGATATAATATAAGAATACAACTTTTTTTTTTGTAATTGGTTTGAAATTTTTTGACTGTTTCCCAGTTATTTAACTCAAAGTTAAGTCTCTCGGGAGAGAATAATTGTTAAATAAAGTTGTTATTTTTGTTTTTTTGCGCACAAAAAGTATTATCATAGCTTCATAAAATTACGGTTGAAACACTGATGTCACATGGACTATTTTGTCGATGTTCTTGGTACCTTTCTGGGCATTCAACGTGGTAGGACCCTTGCTGCCTATAGAGGGTCAGAAAGCGCTCAGATCTCATCAAAAATATCTTAATTTGTCCTCCGAAGATGAACGAAGATCTTACGGGTTTGGAACGACATGAGGGTGAGTAATTAATGACAGAATTTTTTACTTTTGGGTGAACTATCCCTTTAAGAGGCTCAAACTGACCGGTAAGTATTTCTTATGCACGTCTCATAGCTTTGTTTTAAATACATTTAAAATGTTTTTTTTTAATCCATTGTGACTGCGAAGTGTACGTTGTAAGTTTTTAACCGTAGGTCCAGCTGTACATACATTTTGTGATGTATTCTCAGTATTTATGACACAAAAATCTTTACCTGTAACTAAAAATGGCATTAATGCACAAAATTTGCCTTAGCTTAACTGAGATATTTGATTCTACTAGCAATGTAAGAGATTTACATTTTTATGAAATTCTGAGTGGATACAGTATATATGTAAATCATACTTCAGGCATCCAGTTATTTTTCAATGCAGTCACATTTATTGGCTTTCTCTATGCACAGTTACTAAGCAGTCAATTGAGCTGGCAAGAAATGGTTCAAATTTACAATGGAAATCCCACAATGTTTACTGAAAAATAAATACAGGACTGAGAGATTTGCACAGCTCAAAAATATACAAAGGCTTGGAATTAATGTAAACTTTTAAAACATTTGAAAAAATGAAATAGTGTCTTTTCTCTTTTTTCACTTTAAAAAGATAATATGTACATGTTTTTACAAAAATACAAAATGGATTCAAATCTCTTGAAGTGAAGCTTGTATGCAGAGTGAGATTTGTTTCCTGTTTATTGTAACTGAATGAGATGCATCTTATCCCTAGACATTTTCACTTTAACCCTCAATTTTTTATTATTTAGTCAATTATTTGTTTTATTGTAATTTGTAATTAATTTTACACCAATACACATTTGAACCCCTTTGGCAAAAAAAAGACTGTGCTTCTCCAATAATGCAGAGAATTTCAACAAGAAAAATAAAAAACAAAGAAATAGTCCAAGCTGGATTATGATATTTCACAAAAAAGAAACCCACATAATAACTCTTCTGTGTAGTGTCTTTTTGTTTCCTGCCACACTTTTGTTCTTTCTTTATAGATATGATCATTTTTGTTTAGAACCATGTGCCAGTTTAAAACAGTTCAAATCTGTATTTGAGGTAAAATATATCATATAGATAACTTGTAACGTGATTTCCCTTCATTTAAAAAAAATATATTTTGCAAATAAGGCTTAAACTGACTGGTTAGCTTCACTGCAGGAAACTAGGTTGATTCTTCAAATGTGGCTACTGTTGTGTTGTGAAAATAGAAATAAAAACAAAAGACACAATCACTGCTACATATCTGAATTTTTGTCACGAGTGTTGTTTTCATGACTGCAATTGCATCACAAGCACAGAGAGAAAAGTATGAAAAGAAAACTAATGATGTCAATGACATTTTTCCCCCAATGGCAACAATGACAGAATATGGCCTGGGTATAGAATTCAAAGCACCAAAACATTTAACTACAGCTGTATAACATATAGAATAACTTATTTGTTTAGAATGCAAGTTTACAGCTAATTAGAAATGTTTACAAGTTCAGTATCTTCATCATTGGCTGATACACCCCTGATATGAATTTTCTTATTTTATTTAAATAAAGCTTTATCATTATTATTTTCCAAATGTATTAACAAAATAATTCTCTGGATAAAATATCCCATAATTAAAAATACTTTTTTTTCTATTAAATGTTGCAATCTAAAAGAAGATTTTATAGATTTAGTTCTAGTACATGGACACAAATGAAAAAAAGTAGTCTGTACTTCCAAAATTCTGTAGTTATAAAGCACAGCTAATTGTGACAACCATCAGACAGGGTTGTATTTAAGGAGAAATAAGACATGGCACATTGCAGCTCCTATATTATGAGAAAATATTCGTTAGTTCTGTTATTGTCTCAGAATATTTTGGAAGGATTCTCTACCAGTATAAAACAAAAATAATTCAATTCTTAAACCTCTTGGACATGACAGTACATGACAAATCAACAACAATTCAGAAAAAAGTCTGAAATATTATGTTAATCATCCATGTATATACAGATGAGCAATGAACCACTGCTGCCTTTTTGCAGTCAATTTATCTATATCCCAGAGGTTGAGATATAATAATCCCTAAATATAATTCTATCATAATTTAAACAAAATGGCCCCATAATACTCTCTTATGCCTCAGTCTGTTCTTTCAAAACTCAGCTGTACATGAATAGTGCTTCGTTAGATTGTCCAGTACCTCCACTTAAGGGAAAAAGATCAAACTGTGTATACAGTGAAGTAAAACTGCAAATTTGAAAAAATCTTATACATTTTGTACATTTACTGAACATAGCACATACTCAACAAATTCAAGTGAAGGTGGAAATACATTTTAAGTGGAGATGTGACATTTTCTAGTGTTTTATTGCATGCTGTACAGAGGATGAAGAAACTAAAGTGAAAGAGCGCTCATCAGAGATGGATGACCAAAAATCGATCTTTTCACAGCTTGTCACCTTCCCTTCAGTGGCACAGTGTAGTCTTGACAAATCTAGCTAATTCCTATGAGTTTTAAACTCCGAGAAGACTTCCAACTCTGAAGAGTTTCACTTTAAAAGTGAATCCATTCTTCTTCAAATGAACAGTATTCTTGATTTTAAAGGTATTCACAGAATACATTGAGACTGAGGTCCTCATTCTTTCTGCAGTTACAAAAATCATCTCTGTTTGTTGGTTAAGTAAATATACATGATGACACCTGAATTGTGACTAAAATACACAACCCAATTTGGGTCTATGAAGAAAAGTAAACTAAACACAGGTAAAAAGGATTAAATTAGTTTTTGTAACAGTTGTTGGAATGCTTTTTGACAGTTTGAGATTCAAACAGCATGAAGAGTCTCTCACACACACACACACACACACACACACACACACACACCCACACACACACACACACACACCCACCCACCATTACACTAAACTAAAAACTAAAACTGGATTAATTTTGTCTGCTTGCCTTGTTATTTAACAGTACATCCAGGTTGTATAATTCAAGGCATAATTAACCAAATTAAGTGCAAAAGAACTAATGATTTGACAAAATAGCCCAATATTAGAACTATGTTCATAACATTTCTAGCTTTCTTTTTCGCAGAAGTCTTTCGCCTTGCACACTTAGACACCCTGCTAAGAAAGGCCATGGTGCGATTGTCCTTAGAAAAGCTTCCATATATTCATGTCAATTTGTGATGGATGATGGAAAAATAATTGTTTTCTATATTAAAATGTTACCCTTTCAATGTCTTGTTAAAGAATTACAACTAATTTCACCATCTCATTTTGTGAGCATAAAAGCATGGGATTATGACAAAAATCATAGCTCTCAATGATAAATGGTAATGCAAAAAAAAATTCAAGTTCTTCCAAGTTTTCAGCTGACCTACAGAATACAAAAGGAGCTTAAAGAAATCAATGATTTTTTTTCAAACCACAAACATCAGGGGAGAAAAGTAAGGTAGATCATAATATGCGAACAGCACTCTCATACAGTTCAAATAGAATGTTTTCATATTATAAAAGGTTTATGATTTTGATAAGTGGTTAAAAAAATGGTTATACCACTAAGAGGAGCGGTCATCGTGTGGACTTCCATCTGAGTTCTCAGTCTCTCCCTCTGATATGGCCTGCATTGGCGCAGTGTACAGCCGACTCCGCGTGCTATAGCGACTGCTATTTGCTGCAGGTGGAATTCTGGAACGTCCCTGTCTGGAGGCAGCTGACATGGTAAGTGTTTTTGGAGAGAATACTTCACTGTTGGCCTTAGGGAATTGGCTTAGAAGTGGATCGCCACTGCTAGTGGAATCCTGTAGGAGTGAGGGGGGCTCCTCTGGGTGACTTGCAGCCTCTAATAGCAGCTCTCCTTGAGTCTTGGGTGTGATGGGGCTCTTAAGGATCTCCGTAGCAGACATGCGGTAACTCGAGTCTGAGCGACTACCCTTCTTTAGCAGCAGGAGTTTGAACTCCTCACTGGATGTACTGGACTTTTTGGCACTCCTGTAGATGGGTCCTGAGGCTCGTTGGGAGCTGTTTGAAGGGATTGAGGCAGCTGGGGTGATCGGGCATACAGTAGGATTGCTGACAGGGGCGGTTGCAGGTGCTACACCAGGCCGACTTTTTCCACTCATCTCCCCAGAGTCTTTACGTCCCAGCACTTTCCTTTTAGATCTGCAATAATTTGGTTGACAGTGTACTTCGTCACATAAAAATACAACAAGTGTTTAACACTTCCTGTATGGCAGAATCAGTTTTCATGATTGCATGCAATGTCATCAATAAAACCGTATGACATATAGAACATGAGAATGAGACACAAAATGGTGCACTGGAATTAGGGCTGGACAATAATTCAATATCAATATGTATCGCAATATAATTTTTTTCAATAGCGGTGATATGATTTTTAAACACATTTCCGATATTTCGATATACATTACCAGTGTTTCGCATACATTGATTTATTTGTGGCGTTTGACTTCGTTGAATAAACATGAGCACTGCACGTTTCAAAATCATAACAGGGCGTGGGTGTTTTATGAGAATGTATCTCTGAAGGGAACCGACTGTCTTCAGAAAGTTTCGATGGCATTTTCATTTGATCTGATAAAGTAGCGTTCATGAGCGGAGCTGCTTTGATTACAGCCATTACTGGGGAAACCGCTAGTTTTATCACTCTAAAAGCGCCTCCTGCTGGCAGAGAATCAGTTTTCATTTTAAATAAGCCCATCTCCAGCAACATTTCCAGTTTTTGTTGTTCAATTTTTTAGTTTTCTGCAGCAACTCGGAGCACTTTTCATACCCTTTTTTCTGGCTGAAGCACATTTGTTTAAATCTATAAGAATAATCAGCCTACACTACCAGTCAAAAGATTTGTAATGTTTTTTTGTTTTTTTTAAGAATTCTCTTCTGCTCACCAAGGCTGCATTTATTTGATCCAAAGTACAGCAAAAACAGTAAAATGTTGAAATATTTTTACTATTTAAAATTGCTTTCTATTTGAATAGATTTTAAAATGTAATTTATTAAATTATCATACATTGGTAAATTTTCAGCATCATTACTCCAGTCTTCAGTGTCACATGATCCTTCAGAAATCATTCTAATATGCTGATTTGCTGATTATCAATATTTAAAACAGTTGAGTAAATTTTTTTTTCAGGATTCTTTGATGAATAGAAAGATCCAAAGATCAGCATTTATCTGAAATAAAAAGCTTTTGTAACATTATACACTATTCCATTCAGTAGAATTTTTATTATTTTTTTGGGAAAGAAATTATAGAAATGAATACTTTTATTTAGCAAGGATGCTTAAAATTGATCAAAAGTGATGATGAAGGCATTTATAATGTTACAAAAGATTTCTATTTCAGATAAATAGTGTTCATATCGATATCGGAATTATATCGTATCGACCGAAATTAAGAAATATATCGTGATATCAATTTTGGCCATATCGTCCAGCCCTAACTGGAATGTAAAACAATCGTGCTTACCTGTGTATCATGGCAAACAGATCTTCAGTTGTGCGTAGTATGTTGGGGGATGGGAAAACATTATCATCATCAGGTTTAGAGTCATCAGTCAAAGGAGAGGTTGAATTGTCACTGGGAGTTGATTCTGTCAACATGCAAAGCATTCATACAACAAGTTATGCATTCAACAGCTTCAATGTGAAATCAGTCCAGTAAAAATGTATGTTAGTCGTGCTACAGTAATATGTGAATTAGAGGTTGACCAATATATCAGTTTTACTGACTGATCAGCTCCTATATTTCCTGTTTGGAATAGCGGCCTCTAGAGGTGAAATAAAAACAATTACAGATGCTGCATGGAGTTTGTTTTGTCATGTAACTACTGTACAGTATGTCAGACACAAGGTATGTTTACGGTAGTCGTTATCATTACCTACGGTCATGGTACAATAAACCAATCACATTTGTCAAGTTACCCTTGCTGAAGTAGTCCTCTGTGTCTGGGGTCGATCCTTCTTCCCTTATGTCCTGTGAGGCACTTCTGGTTGTGACACCTGATGTCTCATAATCCTCTTCTCGGACTTGTACATCGCTGATTGTGTAAGTGTGCAATGCCTCTTGAGTTGAAACAGGCACTTTGTCAGGACTGTTGCACAGTACAAAATTGCTCCTCTGTATTTCACTGTAAGCAGGGGGTGGCATTGTGCTGGCCAAACACACAGGATATGCTGAAGTGTCTGGCCGCAATAGTTGATTTAGATCTTGTTTTAGTCTCTCTGGTGACAATGTCAGTTGCACATCTGGATACATTCTGCTGTCTTTTTCTTGCTCGCGACCTTGAGATGACCTTGTCGAAGAGTCTTCTTTTTTAGGAGTAGGGTCTACAGGAGTTCTGAAAGCAGTCATTGCCCAGTAAGTACCAGGACCAAGCCTTTCCTGCCTCACTTTCACTTCCTCCTGGGAAAGAACAACATTTTCCACAAGTGGAACCTGTGATTCACAGAGCTGTGCCACAGGGGGTTTGTAGGCTGGTGGTTTCCTGTTGTGCCTGTTGCTAGAGGATGGGGCATCAGTTATTATTGTGGGACACTTGGGACGAGTTACTGGATTTGCACTGGCCAGATCATACTCTTGTTTTCCTTCAGCTGTTCTACCAATAGATCGCAGTTGAACTGATCTAAGAACAGTTGGAGTGATGGCCAAATGGGCTGAGCTGGTTACTGTGCTTGTTGCACACTCTGAAGTAGAAGCTGCAGATGCAGTGCGAGCCTCTGCAGCAGCAGAAGCAGCAGCTGTATTGCGAGCTTCTGCAGCAGCAGCTGCAGCTATGGCAGCTTTCTGCTTATTCTGGTGTAGGATGTGCATCTGATTTCTGTGGGGAATGTGCTTGCTGTGAAGAGCACTTAGGTCAAGGTGACTGGGCGGTATGGCATGGATGTCAGTTTCCCTCCTGAAGGAAATGCCTGGGTTTCGGACTGAAAGCTGTGGCTGTTGTAGGGAACAAAGTGAGGACTTCCTTTCAGGGACTTTGGGTTTCCTTTTGCCACTGGATGGAGAAAGGGGCCCTGGGAAGAAAGCTGAAGGGAAGGAAGATGTAGGTGTTTCAGATTGACTAGAATATCCACTGGAAGGGGATGCCAAGCCTACCAGCTTTTCAGGGGAAGCAAGCTTGAACTCACCTTCAGGTGGAGGAAGAGTTGGGGAAGTAGGTCTGGACCTGGGTTCACAGGCTTGCATTTCTGCACATTCTGGTAACTTGATGCATTCAATAACAGTTGTACCTGTAGCAGTGCTCGAGTTGGACAGAGACCGGTAAGAGTCATTTGATTTCAAGTCATTGTGGAGCCAGAGGTCTGCATAGTCTGCCTGCACAGCACCTTCGTCCTTGAATGAATGTGTGTCCGAGGAACTGAATGGAGAGGAGCAGTCAAGTACGTCCCTGACGTTCTCCACTCCCCATGTGCCAAGTGACTCAAGACCTGGAGTCTCAAGGTGCCCTGCAGAACCAGCCAAGTCCAGCTGCAATTTCATCTCTCTGGAAGACAAGGGCAGTGGCAACTCGCAAGTAATCTTTGGTTCGTTCTGCTCTAGAATGTTCACACCACTGCTTGTTTCCTTTAATGAAGAGCTACGTTTTGGTGGGTGTGGCTTGGCCTTTGGTTTTTTTAAGGAGAGACATGGTCTGCCGAGTGTCCTGGTGGCTCTGTACTCTGACTGAGGGAATTCACCCATGCCAGGTGCTACATTTCCACTTGGGCCACAGTCAGGGTCAATGGCTGCATAGTTGTAGTAGCTTCTGCTATCCTTAACACCACCATCAAAATGCATGGAGGAATAGAATCCTTCAGTGTCAACGATGTAGTGCATCTCAGATTTCCTAGCGGATACTTGGTCACTGAAGCTCTCATAAGTTTCCCCACTAGAATAACTGGGGCAGCTGATGCCACTCTCATCCTCTCTGGAATGCTTTGGGCTGAAGTCTTGGGGGCAGGGCTGATCTTGCTGGTCCTGGGCGCAGTTCCACTCACCATCACTAGCAGTGCTGACCCCTGCATCATCCATCTGATCAGTAGCCGATGAGGTAAAAGAATTGGATCGTTGCCCCTGTCCTTGTGGCTTGTCAATGTGGTAGGGATCAATTATGAAGCCAGTGGTGTCATCAATGACATGGGATCCATTATTGAGGGAGAGTTCTGAATCACAGTGTGAGGATCCAGTCAGGGGAGGAGAGGCAGCAGGTGGTAGAGTTTCAGATGTCTGTGACGGGCAAGTGGAGCTGCTTCCACTCCAGTTGCCACTTGAGGACTGGTGATCCTCTTTATGGTCCATCTGGCTGCCAAGCACTCCTGTAGTGGAGGCAGAGTGGATGGGGCTGCTGAAAGTATCAGAGCTGGAGGAAATTTCACAGCTCCCCATGTCAACTTTGCGTGGGAGCCTGGATCTGCCTCTCTCAATCCATGTGTGGTCAGGGCTCTCTGAATGCTGCATATGCTTGAGACTTCCAAACTGTAGCTCTGGCATGGCCTGGTCATCAGTACTTTCTTCCTCATCCTTTGGAATTCTCTGTCCTGGACCTGGTAGGAAGTCTTCGGTTTCATATGAAGAGAGTTCTTCCTCTTCATCATCATCATCATCATCATCTTCATCACTGTCATCTTGATCCTCATCCAGAAGCCGGCCACCCTCACGTGGTAGGCTTCTAGAACGAACACGAGTGGCTGATGCTGCAGCATACACAGTATCAGAGCGATCTGGCAGGGAGGTGATGTTTCCAGTGGAGTGTGAGAGAGAAGCTGGAATTCCCTGACCCCTCTGGGCACGGATACGCCTCCGGGATGGAGCTGCAATCAAGAAGTCATCTGTCTGACAGCCAGAGTCCTTGGTGTGCAATACTCGGCCACTCAGGGAGAGCTCCTCATGCCATAGTGACTTGTGTGGGTTGGCATGGATGATAACTGTTCTCTCTCTAGCCACAGGTGATTCATCAGAATCTACAAGTAAATCAGAAAACCAATAATTAAACTAAAACTATATGAGGATAACATTTAAAAAAAATTTGATATGCAGATGTTAAATGAACAGATTCTTTTTTTTAAAGTTGCTTTGATGAACTTGAACTTTAGATGGAAATTATCAGCTGGCAATACCCATGTCTTGTTGAACACGTTTGGGGATGCCAGTTATCGTTTTTCGCCTCCTGAGTTTTCGACGTCTCTGTAGAACCGACTGTGAGTGAACAAGAGAGCAGCGAGCACTAGCTTCTCTGTCAAATCCAACACCTGTGAAGAAAAATAACACAGACCCTTAGAACTAGTTAAGCATATGTCATGGATTCCCTTAGTGGGAATAAAAGTTGGTGATATGTTCCACAAAATCAAATTCTTTTGGTCTTTGATGCAATAATGTTATATATATGAATATATATATTGTTATATATTGTTGGTGTTTTTAGTTTGTATTGAATCTGAAGTAATGTTGCTTACCAGAAACATTTATTGGAATTATACAGGATGGAATTACTTGAGAGTCATTCTTTATTCTCTCTTCTGGCGTGGGAAGAGGCAGGGCTTTGGACCAGTTGGTCTGTTTGTCCAAGATGGTAGGTACATTGGGAACAGGACATTTAGGCCTATGGCTCATCACTGGCAATTCTCCATCTGTTTCTGTGTTGGTTCCAGCCTAATATGGGATGATGTTAGAACTGTTACTGTTGCTGTATTCAGAACAAGACTGATGATTTAAGATGACAATCCAAATACACAGACTGCAAACACACTTTTGAATGTAAAGATACAATTTTATCTACAGGATCACAAGTTTTATACAGTGGCCCCAAAAACCTTCAGACACTTTTGGAGTCACACTTAATGTATGAATTCCACTGCACTAGAAATATACAAAATAGCAAACCAAGTGGCAACTGATGGTTAAAGGGACAAGCAAGTGTTTGGTTATCTACTGTACATTCTTCAAAATATCTTCTTTTCCATTCAACACACGAAAAAAACTCATACAGGTTTGGAATAAGTCAAGGGTGAGTAAATGAGTAAACAGAATATTACATTTTGTGTAAGCTAACCTTTAAATTTTTTTCCCCCTCAAAACTAACTTAGTTATCCAATTAAGACATTCATACATTTGAATGAGGTTTAAGTGTCCAAATACTTTTTGGGACCAACTGTATTAAGTATAGGCATGGGCCGGTATGTGATTTCGACGGTATGATAACCTTAAGCAAAAATATCACAGTTTCACGTTACCACGGTATTGCAATTACAGCTCTAAAATGACTTTTTAAATGTCTGGGTAAAAAACAACTTTTTCCCATTGAACACAATATATTTTTCTTTGATCTGCATTTTAATCATGATCCAAACAAAGATGCTACATACATGTAGCATGAACCATTTCTGATTTAAATTAAATTGTATAATTTTATAATAACCAAATCTGAAGTAAAAACTGAATATTCTGACTAGATTTGTGAAAGTATACTACATAAACAATGCCTGCACGAAACCGAAACAGCAGAGGGGCTGAATGAAAATGAAAATTCACTCTCTGACACCAGGTGACGCTTATGGAACAGCAGCTAAACAGCGTTTCCTTGGTTACCTGTGTAAACAAAGCAGCGCTGCGCTTATAAACACTATTATTTTCTCCTCTTTGCATCTGTCTTCAGTGTCTCTGGCCTCTGTTAACGGCCATTTACAGACTTTGTAATATTTCCACACAAATGACATTTTGGAAAATGATTGCAATGCCGTTTGTGCAAGTCCAGAACAGAGATCCGCTGAAATAAAACAAAAACACGGCTGGTTGTCGATCGCTTAAAGGGATAGTTCACAGAAAAATGAAAATTCTGTCATTAATTACTCACCCTCATGTCATTTCAAACCCGTAAGACCTTCGTTCATCTTCGGAACACAAATTAAGATATTTTTGATGGAATCTGAGAGCTGTCTGACCCTGCATAGACAGCAATACAACTGAAATGTTCCCAAGTCCAGAGACGTAGCAAGGAGATCGGTAAAACAATCCATGTGACATCAGGGGTTCAACCGTAATTTTACGAAGCTACGAGAATACTTTTTGTGCGAAAAAAAAACAAAAAAACAACAACTTTATTCAACAATTCGTCTCCTCCATGTCACCCTAGCGCCATTTTGGAGAGTATCAGCTGGACATAAACAACGTATGCTGCTCTGTGTCAGCTGCGTCACGCCGGATCTGTTTCCAACGTTGTTGTGATTTGATCTTGATCTCGTAGCTTCGTAAAAATTACAGTTGAACCCCTGATGTCACATGGATTATTTTACCGACCTCCTTGCTACGTCTCTGGACTTGGGAACATTTCAGTTGTATTGCCGTCTATGCAGGGTCAGACAGCTCTCATATTCCATCAAAAATATCTTAATTTGTGTTCCGAAGATGAACGAAGGTCTTACGGGTTTGAAACGACATAAGGGTGAGTAATTAATGACAGAGTTTTTATTTTTGGGTGCACTAACCCTTTAAGTTCCAGGGGTTCACCTCTTTTGGCCATCTAACACACAGGTGACTGACTGCTCACACCAACAGGAGGTGGAAGGGTCGTGTTACTCTCTGCGCTGCACACAACCTGAGGGATTCCTACAATTTTAGTCTTTGACAAGACATAAAAAACAATGCATACCGCAGGAACAGTATAACGGGAAATTTGAGTAGTTTTTAAACTGTGACATTTTCAAATCGCGGTATACCTTGAAACCGGTAATCGGCCCATACCTAATTAAGTAGACATCTACATACATACATGTATTGCCAAAATCCCATTTTTCTGTGTTGACGAGAAATGCAGCATTGGTTATGAGGCAGAAGACACGAGACAATGAAGGAGAATAAATAAATAAAAGAATCAAACACAGGCAAAGAGACAGAATGATTTTTTTCCATGGCTGCATGCAAATATATAAAATAATGTCTTTCATGAAGGCCAAGTGGCACCCTAGGGAGTAAATAAGCCAGAAAGGAAATCCATGGAAAAATCTTGAAATAAATCACAAAAAGCAGTGGAGTAGCATTCAATGTCAAGCAAGAACTAGAAGAAATGGTCCTACTATATCAGATCTCTCTGTGATATTCCAAATGCTGTATATCATATATTTTAATATATTTATTATGTATTATATTTGTTGTCCCAGATCATACTGAGCTGCCCCACTTAACATGGTGCCATTTAACAAATGGTATAAATTATTTACACAGTAGCATATTCCTTAACTGATTCTGCCTATAAATACAAACACATCCTTATGGAGTAATTTACTTCATTATGATCAGGATTTACTCTGATGATGTTATCAGCAATATCAAATATAAATCTTTGCAGATTTTTTGCAAAAAAGATACAGCAAACTGGCTTAAACCCCATGAACAGACATTAAATATTTACTTCTGGAGAAAGTCTTGTTCTAGCCTACACGTTAAACCAAGGAGAAACAGAAATGGTTAGGAGTTAGAGTTAACAATCAGTCTTTAATGGGGCAAAATACCTTTCTAATCCAGGGAATGAAGTAACAACACTGAACAGGGGAGGAGGAACGGGAGCGCTGATACTAAAATTAAAAGATGGAAAACATAACTAAACAAATATAAAAAAATGCACTTGTTAAATCAAAATAAATGTCTGATGGGATGTTTCTGTGGTGTCCATGGTGTGCACATGCCGTCAGGGAACAGGGTGACATGCACACACAAAACAACATAGACATGCTCTCTTTTGGAACTGTTTTCTATGAGGAACGTTGAACCACTGAGATGTATGTGGTTCAACTCTGCAACATACATGCTGAAATGAAAGGCTATAATTTGATGGAGAAGGAATTTACTACATTTTATTGTTATGGAAGGAGTTTAATCAATCTGGCATGGTCTTGGTACCTGTACTTTAAAAAAAATAGATCAGGAGTTCTGTTTTCACATTTCAAAAAAATTATGTCATTTACCTTTCTGAGGACGGGTTTGAATTCAGCCTCTTTGGCTGGTCTCTCCTGCAGCAGTTAAAAGCAATAAACAAAACAGATGAAGATCCCAGAATACCTTTCACCACCTTTAAAATCACATGCTGCTGCCCATTTTACTCTTGTGCATGTTACCTTATGAAAAATTTTAAGATGTAAAACAGAATACATGTATAAAAAAAAAAAAAAGAATTATAAATCACCTCTTCATTCCAAACACTACACTGGACAAACTTTTTTATATTTTATTGCTCTATGGCAACATTATGTTGTCAAGCCAACTTCTGTGTGTTTCTACACAACTCATAGTTGATACAGATTGGTTGTTGGTCAGCTTATAACTAAAACCAGTATGTCAGAATGACACTCAAATCTCTCCTCTGATGTTTTTTATGTTTTTTTTTCCTTCACATGATTCCATCTCTCTATCTGAAATAGGTTTGTAGGTTCATTATTATGGAGGGTTACTATGATGTCAAGGAAGATACTTCCCAGCATACTAAGCGTTTGTCACTCAGTCAAACCAAAAATTATTCAAACACCAGATATAATTTTTTATATATTTATTTTACTAGTGGGTGAAGGACACTATAGTTAATTTATGTAAGTGAGGATAGCAAAATAAAATGTGTCATATTATACCCAAAAATTCTTCATACAGTAAAACTGATAAAAAATTGGGGACCAAAAATTATTCAGGCACTTTGACCTTGCTTAAGTGTTATCTGACATTATCAAGATGAATTTGTTCTGACACAGTTTAACTCTGAGTTCTTTACATATTTTATTACCATTTTATAAACTATAATGAATAAACTGTGACAATGTGTGAAATGTTGAAGGTGTCTGAATACATTTTGGTTTGACTGTAAGCAGCATTATTGATTATTACTTAAACATTTTATCTATATTATTTAAAATGTTAGTTCAATGTTTTACATTCAGTTAAAAAGCACAAGAAATAAAGAAAATACTGGACACAATGTAAAAAAAAAAAACAGAATTCAAAATATATTTCCATGGGATGGTATCACAGAGAACATCCACACAATACAAGCAAACAGATCCGCTTTACCTTCCTCTGGATAGTTTGCACATCACTCTCTCTAATGCTTCTCTCCTGGTGTGCGTGGCAGGAGAGAGCGTGCTAATTTAGGCCAAAAATATATTTTTATATTTTTATAGTTATAGTTATAGTTTATGTTTTAAGATAAACATTTCTGGAACTGGGTTAGATCACCACTTGACATTTGACACAAAATCTGGGTCCTGAAGCAAAACCCGCTGAGAACCACTGATGTTTGGACCTCCTCTACAAGAGTGGAGATTAAATGTTATGTTCTTACCAGGCGTGAGTGTCGGCCCCTCTGCTCCCGCCTTCTGAGTTTGTGAGTTGAAGGGAAGGTTGGCATGGGCGGGGCCACAGATATCGATATGGTGACCCGACCACGCTCTTTGCTGGTTGAACGCTGACGCTGCTGCTGGTCTGTATAGTACACACACAGACACACACACAAACACACACACACACACACACACACACACACACACACACACACACACACACACACACACACACACACACACACACACACTTCAGTTGGCTGAGCTATTTTAGTCTAAACTAAAGTATGAATTATAACAGCTTCAGTTTTATAAAATGTACAGACTGCCAACTGCTAACTAAATTGTTCATGTGCAGAAGGCGTTTTTGTTGAATACTGACGATGTACAATCAATGTTCTGGTCACATTTTATGTGTAACTGATGGAAGTAAAATTGATTCAAGGGGAAAATATAAATTATGCTAGATGGTTCACACTAAACTTGAGGCAATGCCAGATCAAATTTCATCATTCAAACACAAGGTGGCAGTATGAATCAGAAGTTCAACAACAAATTCCCTAATATCTGCCTCTAAAGGCATTTTACAGTGATGTGTGAAATCTTCCTTTTCTTTCTTAGATATATATATATATTCACACATATTTTAAGTCAAATTTACAGCTTCAAACTCAAACACATTTCCAGGTAGACTCAGGAACCTGATAGATGTTTAGACAGATTGAGGACTACATATAAACACTTTATTGATCCCTGAGGGGAACTCCAGGATCATAATTCTCATCTATCTTGAGCTGTCACTTCTCTACGCTGATCTATCACCATTGTGGCCCTGGGCAGACCACTGAACCACAACTTTTGTGATATAAGATATGTTTGGATGAAAATAATTATAAAAATCAAATGGTACTGTGGTTTGGAACCAAAAAATATAGGCCCAGAAACCTGACTCAGTACCTCTTTGCAGTGCCCGCAGGTTGAGCTTGGCATGTCGGTGCAACTCCTCCAGACATGGTGGCCGTGTACAAGTGTGGAACAGATTGTGTTGTTGATGCCATGGAGCCTGATAGTGGGATGTCAGTTTACTCTCATTGTCCAGATTTGATACGGCTAGAGAGAAAGACAAAGAAATGACAAGGTCAGAAATCTGGAATGTGTACAGGATTTTTATTCAAACTTAGAATAGAATAAGATCCTACTGGACAGAGTGAAATTTCTACATCCTTTTTCTTTAATGCTTATATGATTCTATTTAATATTACGTAATCTCTATCAGAACCCATTGTAGTTGTGTTGGAATTAACTCTTGCTGTTGGACAGGTAATGGGAACGGTGTGTTCTTACCCAAACTTTTGAGCAATAATGTATGTTTCCATATTCATTCACTGTAATCAATATTATGTATACAACAAATGGCATTCTAGGGAGACAAAGGTGAAAGACAACTTCATTAGTATTTCTCCCTCTATCTTTTTCTCTTTTCCCCAGCATCCTGTCTCCTCCTCTCCTCTATAAAGGAGCATCTGCCCATCAGTATTCAATGCACAGTGGTCCCCTTGAACTACCCAGAGTCATCTGTATCCAAGCAACCCTTCATATCTAATTTACATGAATTAGCAAATCCTTATCAGGCCGTGATCAGCAAAATAATAACAGAAATGCATTACCTGTCTTAGAAGACCACAAAGAAAAGGGTGGAGATTAATGATTGACGCTTAGAAAAACACTGGATTCTATTGCAACAAATCCTTTGTTGTATGTAATTGGAACAAAAGCCAAAGGACATATTACTTGAGAGTGTAATACAAAACAGAAGTGGCTTCACAAGGAAGGGTCTGGGAATATTTTTTTCTTAGACTCAGGTTTTCTGAGAGGATACCGCAAATGGGGTCTTATATTTCTTAAAGCTATGGCTATATATGATTCAGACAATTCAGGCTGACAGTCAGAAAGGAAACATTTTAGTACTTATTAACCATGAGGTAAACCATGACAATGGCCACGTCTATTGGTTTGACAGAACTGAATACACACACACACACACACACAAACACAGAGGCATTTGGTAATCCGATACAAGCCCTTTCTATAACCTTTAGTCTGACCACATCCAAACAACCATTAAAATGAACAATGTTTTGAGTGGTTTTACTCAGTAATACTAATCTGATACCTGCTTTTTGCACTGTTAAATGTCTTTCCATGTTCAGTGTTAACTTGCATTGAGTAACCAAAAATTTGCAGTGACACCACATATTTGCACAATTAAGCTACACTTAACAATAAATGAATTGCATTGCATGAGATGAGTTTTGCAAACAATGCAAAACTAACTTTACTTAAATTTTATATTTTACTTTAAACCAAATTCTAATCAACTAGTAAAATAATAACTGTTTGTTGAAATTTGTCTATATAAAGGGAAATCAAATCAAATTGTTATAACTTATACATTTTATAAAGATATTGCATTTAGTTAGTGCGGTGGAAACTTAATCACTGTATTATTTATAGCGTTAACCTTTAGAAGCTTTTAAAGCTTTTAAAGACACCTGATTGGCACACTACTGATGCAGACCTCCGTCAGTGTGAGGAATGTAATATAATATAATATAATATATATTAATAACTAAATGTCCACCAATGAAAGCTTTTCCAAAAGGTAGGCACCTTAATTAGGCTACTATCAATGCATCAGTGACATATGTATCCTTCACAAGAAAAGCAATCCCAGAATGCACTGCAACACCTTAAGAGAAAAAAAATCCAAAATGGAGGACAAGGTGAGAGAAACACTGATATAAACATATTTCATTAAACATCTGCTTTGGAAATAATTGTGTTGAGTTAGTGTCTTGATCTTCACCTGCTCCTCATCTCCCCTCTCTCCATTTGGACGTGCACTGTAATGATGTGCGACTGCAGTGAACAGACTCTATTACTCAGCACCGCTCTGCTGTTCCTATCGTTTTTGCCCTGCATTATCAAGAACTGATCCTCATGCAGCACATCTAGCATACATGCACTGTTTTCATTCCCTCTGCACTTGGACATTTTGGACATCTATTACAAATTAATTCAGCCAAAGAGGAAGTATGCTTTGTATGCAGAGTTACATATAGCATGATGTAATATAATAGTCTGAGACTCTTATTATGTCATTAGTCACAGTTAAGCTTATTACTACTTGTGCACATAGGGACATTTTCAAAATAAACTCCACAATGCAAAGCACACATGGATTTCATGAATTTCTTCAATGTACATTTTTAAATATAAATCACAAAAACATCAAAATTCTCAATGTTCCGTTCAGTGGCATTGAAAATCACAGTTACTGAAGAGTTTGATTCATGTAAAGAGGTCAATGCTTAGTGAGACAGAAGTACACTGCAGTACAATTGCACCAGAATGCAAAGAAATGAGTTAAAACATTAAAACGATGGTCATCTATATTCTCGTTCATGGACTACCTGCATTCACCTCTGCAGGGATTCTAGATCACTATCCTTGTCAGCAATCTAGTCGTCTTACCTGTTGTGCTTACTCTCTGGCCTGCGTTCTTACTACCCCTCTTTGTCATTCTCCTCTTTTTCAAGCCACGGCCAGGTATCTTTCTCTGAGAGTTTCCCATCTTTCCCTGGACTGCTCATACAGAATGAAGGCGTGAAGGATTCTGCTAGCACTACTGCAAGACTGGGAGAGCTGCTCTCTCTCTCTCTCTCTTTTTCTTTCATTCTGTCTCCAGCAGGTGCACAGTCAGCAATGCGAGTCAGGACTCTGCCAGCAGCAAGGCAAAGAAAAGTACTGACAAATCTCTAATTAGGAATACAGAAGGACAATACAGAGAGAAAAAAGTTCTAATTAAAATAATGAAACTACCAAAGTATACAGGTGGAAGAAAACTTCAGATATGATCCTTCAGAAATCATTCTAATATGCTGATTTGCTGATTTTCTTATTACAATTTATTCAGGATTCTTTGTTGAACATAAACTTCAAAAGAAAGACATTTATTTGAAATATTTTGTAAGATTTAATGCATCCTTGCTGAATAAAAGTATTAATTTCTAAAAAAAACAACAACTTTTGAACGAAAACCTTTGGCCAATATTGCATTACAAAATAAAAATGCCCACCATAAAAGTCCAGATCTATAATATGCTTCACAACACAAACATTTAACAAATGTAGGCCTACAATGACCATGCTATTGTAATAAATAAATAATATATGCCTATTACATGCAAAGTACAACTGCAAAAAATAAAACAATAAGAGATATTCACTTCCATTGAGAATAAACTGAGAAATCATAATAGCAAAATCAAGGGACATTTACAAACTACACACTCAAACTATAAATGCAATGCAATACAGTTTATGGAATTTTTCATTCCATTCACAAATATACAAAGAAAAAGGACATGTTTTCATGCTACACAAACCATCGGTTGCACTTCTTCTTTTAATAATATAGATGTTCTAGTCATTAACAATCAGAGCGCTAGTATAGATGAATCTAGGTCAAGCTTGCCTAGCAGAGCTCAAAGACATTGTTGAGATCTTGCTGGGGAAAATCAAATAGTGGATTTATCTATCAATAGACTTAATACTAAAGCACTAAACAGCATTAAACAAGAAACATAAGAAGTCCTCATGCACTAACTCATCAATGATAAATGCATTTATTCCCTAAAAGGAGATTGTTAGCTGCAGCCATCCAGCTGCCTGGTGTACGGATAGAGATTGACTGTCTCTCTGATGGGGGCTGGGGACTCTGTGTCTAAAAGCTGGTCCCTCTGCAGGAGTGCTTAATACCCACTGATACTACACAGCACTAACAACACTATGGACTATAGATATCAATATATCATGTCCTCTTTGAGGAGCACTTTCCTTCCATTTACAGCAGGGGATCCCAATCTTTACAGTAGTTGAACTTCTTGTGACCTGGATTGCTCTGTACCCACTTTCAGGAAATAGAGTGAATAATAAATGTATTTTTAATTATTCATTTTTGTTTATAAAATTAGTGTACAATGTTATATTATTATGTATATGTATATATATATATATATATATATATATATATAGAGAGAG